CTAAGAATATGCACTAATAAAGGCATTCTAGAGGTGTAACTAAAGATAGAGTATTTATAGGTAAAGGGTCGTGGTAGTAGAGAGCTTAGTAGTGACTAAAGTTGCAATAGAATAGAGGGAAACCACCCTTTTATAATATCTAGAGGTAGGCTGCCAAGATCTACCAAGATCTGCTAATTTTGTGTGTTGACAATTAGTCACCTCTGACTAAAGGCAGTTTACAATACTAGTTATTCAAGCCCTAACATAATTGTAAAAGACTTACCAAATACCAATGTTTATGAAAAATGGTATCTGTTTAAAATAGGATATATGCTACTTTCAGGAAAAATAGCACTTTTTTTATATAATTGCATGCTAAATAGGACTTAAGCTATTTTCCTGCATAAAATGGTATTCTCATATGAGTGCATGCTGAACAGGCCCTAAATAAAAAAACATAGTATAGGCCTTGTGCAGTGCATGGTAATAAAAATATATTACAATAAAGATTGTAAATAGCATATATTCTAAAATAAATTTATAGTATATTTCAGAAATATAGGTGTTCATTTGACCAAATAATATAAAATAAATATACATGCTAAGACAATACAAAGCCTATTATTTTTGTAAAAGTAGGGTTAAAAACAGTATTTCAAAATAAAAAAGCCTCTTGTTACTATCTCAATAGAATATTATACTTTATGAATAAGTAATATAAAGTAGTACAAACAATATAAATACCCTTCAGCAATTATGTACAATAATCTATTGGCTAAAGACAGTAAGGAATTTTATGTTAAAGTTGAATTAATTATTTGTTATATATAAATAATTTCTAATATATCTATTTTATAATAATATTGTAAAGGACTCTTATTTTTAGTCCTTAACCTATATACTGTATTCTCATATTTATACTATAAAAATATACATTGAAATGAAAATATATCATAAAATTTTTGTATATGCTGAATACACTCCTATATAAAAGGTTTTAATTGACAAAGTTTATATGATAAAAGCAACTTTTATGTTATAAAAATAGCACACCAAATAGGGCCATAGTAAAAGGAATATAATAATATTATATAAAAATAGTAAAATATAAAAATACATAATATAATTACTATTAAATTAATTACTATTTATTACCTTACAATTGTGTTAGGCATATGTGAGTACACAGACCCTGTAGTAGGGGAACTGCCCACAGACTCTCATTTATCAGAGTTACCAACACCCCCCTCCGACATCCTTACAAGCCCCGCATATCCTTGGTAAGATTTCAAAGAGTTGCCTTCCAAGACTATAGCATCATTTAATTGAACCTAATTTTATAACACCATAATATTATACTATTTTAATTGGATGATTTTAGTATTAGTTTTCAAGGTCAGATGTTCAATACCTATTTAGGTTAAAGTTATTTTTGTAATTTATATAATTAAATACTTTGATACCAGGAGTATCTTCGAGCTGATGAGAAATTATCAACAAATGAAGAAAATATCTTAATAATATACATTGTTCTTTCAATGAATCTTATTTATGATATCTTTACTACCCTCTCGAAGCAATTTCTTAGTAGTCATATACGAAAGAAGCATTATAAAGCCTTCCTAGACAATCTCTAGCTACACTAAAGATTTCAGCCTAAGTCTTCTTGATGCATATTAGAGTTGGCTTCTGCCTAATAATTTGTCATTTAAATGTATTGTCTTATGAAATAATTTTTTTAAAAAAGAATTTCTCGCAAAAGTCTTATATACCATGCATGTTTTTAAAAACCTACCTAAATGCTACTGTGCTCTTAGATACCATGAAATTATAATGATTCTCTATGTTTTTCTAATAATTAATTTTAGAAATTTAATGATAAAAGACTTAAATATCCTACCAGTTATATGAAATATTCCTCAAATCCTACCTTACCTTCTGATACTATAGTAAATGAATTATTTAGAAAGAAATTATATGCAATATATTTTTATTACTATTATAATATTATACTTTATAAGTTTAGTAAATGAGAAAAATATAAGACAATAAAAATAAAAATAAAAGAAAGAAACTTCCAATAATAAAATTAGGAGAAAATTTATAGTATTGTTTAAAGTTTAAACAAGTAAATAGTTATTAACAATTTACTGTAAGGCTATTACCAGCTAGTAGAGTTACTTAAATATGTTTAATATTATTATGCTATAAGTTGAACATTTTTACTTTAGAAATACTGACTTATACAAAAGGTTATACTTGTAGTTTACAGTTAACTACAAGGGATATTGCTATTTATAGTCTTTAGCGATTCAAATAAGCTCTTTTCTTGTTCTTTAATATTGCTTTCTTATAATTAAAGGCTTAACATTCTATACAATTAGGTTAATTTTAGGCAAAACTTTAAATCTTGTTTATATTTTTCTTTCTTCCTATTATTTTTTTAAATGCCTCTTATTTTTTCCTATGTTTTACTTTAAATTTTCTCTTTCCTGATTTATTTTCTTTTATTAATTTTATAAAAACATTATAATAATTATATAATTGTATTGTATATAAAAAATACTTATACAAACAATTTACTCTAGTATTTGAGAGGAAATTTGAAAACTAGTATGATATTTGAAACCTTTTCTGTTTTTTTTATTACTTTGTTCAGCTAATAACTATACCAATCTCTACCGAAAATAACATATGAGAAAATACTTTTAGCATGAAAGTATATGTATAAAAATCAATATGAATTACTAGATACTTTTGAAATATGATAATAAATAGCTAGTACTATGAAAGTCGGTAGTATTCTTTTTATTTTAAACTGTCTTACTGTTTTAATAACAATTTTTCAAGTTAAATTCCTCAATATGTATTATTATATACAATACTAAGTACTTATCCTATATGTTTTGCTATTTTTTCAACTACTACAAGGTCTGGGGGGAATTGGTCATCAATTCTCTTTATATCTCCTATTTCTTACTATACCATATTTTTAATTAATAATAGTATATATCAGACTCTGTTTATTTTTCTGATTAATTTCATTTGCCTTGCAATATACAGAAGAGACCAAATATTGAGCAGGTTAGATCTCACAATACTGAACCATAATGTTTTTATAAAAAAGAAAACCCTGGTAAATGAGTACAGGGTCCAGGACACTCAAGGTTCCCACTATTAGATACTGAAATACTATGATAGTTAAAATGTGGTTTTATTATTTTTCAATTTAAATTAAAGAACTAGTAAATTTTATACTATAAATAAAACTAATGATTTATAGATAATATATTCTCCCAATAGATAGTTGTTAGGATAAGATTATTATACCTTTTTTATTTACTCAGCATTTGTGGATGAGCAGAAATAACTTTGTATAATTAAACATTTTATTAAAAATTTGCTCTGAAGTGAGAAAATAATAAAATTTGACTTGTTTTTATTATTAGGCTACATAGCATATATCCTTGAAGAAGTTATTAAAAATTTGCTATCAATAACCAAATTGATAGTTTTCAAGATTTGCAATATTCCATATAAGTGTAGAATTATGAACAAAAACACAGGCTCGACCCCGGGATTGAACCGGGAACCTCTCGCAATCAAACTTAGGGTAACCCTAAGCGAGAATCATACCACTAGACCAGCCGAGCCGTCAATACTAAATATCAATCTTTGTGTCAATGATGCCTCTTCAGTTGATCATCGTTGCTTCTGC